AAAAAAAAATCTAAAAAAAGAGAAAACATTTAATAAAAAATAAAAAAATAAAAAAAAATCTTTTTTTTTTTTCCGTAATGTCTCCAGTCAGTGTCCCTGATCACCACCACACCAGTTAAATGCTGACGCTGTACTGCACTGGTGACAGTATGTAAAAAGAATATTGTGAAAATAATTTTTTTAAATTCTTAATTTTCTGCAAAATTCTGACAAAAGAAATACAACTTCAAAAACTTCCCATGTCTCTTATAAAATACATTGGACTATCTACTTTGCAAAAAAGGGTCATTTTGGGGATATCTGTACTGTTCAAGAAATTAGATTGGCTGTCAGTACAGGATTGATCAATTTTCAGATATATCCCATAGTTTGTGAACTCTATAACTTTCCTACAGACTAAATAATAAATACTGATTATGGTTATTTTCACCAAAGAAATGTAGCAGAATACATCTTGGCCTAAATTTATGAAGAACAATTATTTATTTGCAAACTTTTATGTTTTTTTTTTTTTTTTTTTTTTGAAATTTTCAGTCTTTTTTGTTAATTATGCAAAAAATAAAAACCCCAGTGGTGATTAAATACCACCTAAAGAAAGCTCTAGTTGTGTGAACAAAATGATAAAATTTCATTTGGGTACAGTGTTTCATGACTGCGCAATTGTCATTCAAAGTGTGAAAGCGCTGAAACCTGAAAATTGGCCTGGACTGGAAGGGGGTGAACGTGTCCGGCATTGAAGTGGTTAATCCCATGGACTATAGCATAAGGAGGGATGGCAACAGCCAGTCTATACTCACTAATGTCCTTGGATTATTGGTTTCCACCTTCCAGACACCTTCACCCCGTGGTACCAGACTAGATCCTTAGATGACAGGCCCTCTCTGCAAAGTAGGCCTCCAGCTAGTTCCACTGAGGCCTCAATAACTCACAGGCACACGGCAGAATTGTATAGGGGGCTAACAGCCCCCTAGGCTGTGACCTCCTCATCAGGAAAAAGGCCCCTCTGCTCTGAGTCTCAGAATTTATACAGATTCCCAGTCACCATTTGGGCACTTCTCCCCAGGGATTGGCCAGGGCTGCATAAATATTTAGCTGCTGATTAGACTATTCCTGCGCACAAGCTTCCAGAACATTTCTGGGCAACCAGGAAAAAGCAGTAAATCCTGCAGTAATGGAAACCCAGAACAGACCAGAGAAATCAAACACAGCTATACCAATTACAATGCGTCAGAATATAAACCGTGTATCGGGGTGGGCTCCACAGGATACAGTGAAGTCACGAACGAGGAAAGCAACCCCAACACCAGCTTTTGCCACAACAGAATTTTACTGAGACGTGGCAAATAAACACAACCACAAATGCTGGGAACATACAATAAATTTACATACACCCAGCCCAAAGGCTGAGACCCTTGTGCTGCACAGCACAGCGCCTTCTAATGGATGAAGGTAGAAAGTGAAGTAATTTACCTACTGGCAGGCACAACTAAGCTGCCACACCTTACCTGTTATTACCCTAAAAGAGCAGGAATCAGTGTATGGGTGTACGGTATGGGCTAGCCTGCGGTGCAGCACAACAGCTTACAATCTTACACAAATCTACAGTATTCCCTCCCATAACTGGTCCTGTAGCACGTGCCTGAGTATTCCTTCTGAACAAAACGCCAGTCTGGCTTGAGTTTGTGGGATTTTATCAGCTCTCCAATGTGAAATGTCACTTTAAGTTGTGGAGTCCTTCCAATAATCAGTAACAACACTTGTGGCCTGACACAAACAGAGACCTTAACTAACTATAGGCCTGGACTCAGTCTCAAGGTGCCAACACTGAAATGAGGTGCGTGCACGATCTTACCAACCCGGGTCTGCTTTGCATCCGTTGGTGACTCTGAACAGAACAAATGTCTCTCCAACAAGCATGCAATCTTGCCGTATATGTTGCTTAGTTCCTCTGGTCTCCCCTGCTTCCTGGAACCAATCTCATCAGCATCCTGGCAGCAAACTCATCAGCTTCACTCAGCTGCAGGTCTGGTTACTGAGGGACGCATGCACACCTGGATGTCATCGGATTCTCAGCTCACACGGCCCCTTCATTCAGCATTGTCCAAAACATGGCTGCAGTATCATCTTCCTGTTCACTCCAACTCTGAGTGCAAAACCCCACCTCTTCATGAATATGCAGTCTGAGGCTGTGTTAGAAAAACAGTGACATCTTGTGGCTAAACGGCAGAATGTCAGTCAAAACATTAATTTACTTCCACACAGTGTTCAAACAATGAGAGCTGTTTCCCCATCTCACAAGAACTACATTTGCGAAACATAGCACCTATCCAGGAGGGTGCTACATAATAATGTCACCAGTACTTAGGTTTTTGTAAGCCCTAAGTGCAAAAAAGCACTTCTGACAAAACAGGGACTTGCTGTCTATGGAGGGATACAGAGGCTCCTGGGCCACTGTTCCTGATACTTTGCTTGTAGTTACAGCTACTGGGGCTCACTCAATAGAGGAGTGGAACTGCAATTATATATGGGCATTACTATTAATGTGAGTGCATTACTATTGGGTATAATTTTAATAAATTTGAGCTCTACACTATGCTATTATGGTATTTTCTTGTTTAGGAAGGCCCTGAGTAAGAAGAACAAAGACCTGAACGAAGGGCCGGCATGACAGGGGTTAAATGGGGTTGGGAGAGTCTAGTGGGGTATCTTGGAAAACACCATTGGAAGAACATAGGTGCCCAGTGAGGAATGGGGAACACAATAATGCCCAATGGCAGGTGGGGAGGAGCCATAGTTCCCAGTGGGGGAGAACTATAGTACCCAGCTCTTGAGCCTGCAGATTGAAGGAATTTGAGCCTGGCTGCTAATGTTTTGACAGGTTTGTGTATATACAACGGTACAACGGTGGACAACCATAACCTCACCAGGGTGTCCAGTGAAGGTGCTGGGAGTAATGGGGGGACTAATAAGGTGCACTTAGCACGCCAAATGTTACAAACTTGTGGGCATGGCCAAAAATTGGAAGTGGTCACAAATATAGGTGTTGCTTCACAGTGACCGTGTAATGCAGGTACACTAAAGACATTGTTGGAGTAAATAAATGGGTTTATTCAATTTCATTCCATGATGTGCAAAATACACTGCTCCTAAACTTTTCTCAAGGAGAAAACTGTCTAAGGCCTTGTTTATACTGGCAGTTGAGTTGTGATTTTACCTCTCCCTCTTTAGCTGGCAGTGGAGGGGAGTGTACATATTCCTGCAGATGACCTTGGAAGACTGATGATCCTCTGATTCAGGCACAGTGGTAACATGCAGAGCTGGTTTTGTAGATTGCCAGTCATGCACCAGAGCAAGGCAGGTAGTGAGAGGGAGAGACAGGAGCAGTGTCATAGGAATAGCCAGGGTAATAAACAATCAGGCAGCACGGTACAGAATCAAAAGCAGAGCCGAAGTCAGGAGCCAGTATCAAGCAGGAGGGTAATCAGAGTCAGGTGAGGAACAAGCCGGGTCAGCAACAAGGGAATCACACAGGAACAAGCAGGACACGGGGAAGCTGAAGACCAGTCAGCACTCAACATGGGCAGGGACACCCTTTAAATAGTCTGTCTGGCGCCAATCTTCGCAGTGCGCGATCGCGCATTTCCACGCGCATGTGCACAACTGGTCATCCTTCTCCGGACGTTTCTATGCGCATGTGCATTTCTATTCACATTTAGTTTCACCGGAAATCCCTTACACTAGGATGGCTTAGTTGAGGGCCTGTACGCTTGCCCCCACGAAGGTCCTCAGCCCTGGGAATCTATCCTTTTTCAGAGGTGCTGGTGTAGGGGACTTCGTGACTCCATTAAGTAAAGTAAGTATAATATGGGTATTATGCAAGAATTGATGATATTAATAGCACTTGTATTGTGTATGATATGTTATAAATGAGATTTGTTCACATTTATGATTTTTATTGATATTTATTTATCCCAATGATGTCCTCCAAAGGAAGTGGGTTTTCCCCATGAAAAGCATCAAGAGATTACCAAGGTGGATTGTGGACCCCCTTTCCAGTGTATCACACACTGGGTATGACAAGTGAAGTCCACTAGATGGAATTTGTTTTTATTCTTGCTAACCTTACACTTTTACAATGTATAATTTATATTTTTTTTTTTAAATTTTAAGTCAATATTGAATAAACATTTTAAACCTGTTTTTTTGGTTGTCCTTGTGCACTTCAAAAATCCATAGTATCCTCCCTTTTGGCATTGGTTTCTCAATGTACCGAGCCAATCCAAGGGGGATGGGTACCATGTGACCTGTATATTAATCCTTTCACCGCCCTTATCCTGCCCATCTGAACATTAACCCCTTCACTTCCCCCTCCAACTATGTATGGCCTTGAGAAGTGCGCCTTTTTCAAGCTCTGTATTTAATCCCCTCAATACCGGCATGTTTCTTCATGTCCAAAAAGTTGTGGCAAAACATTAGATCACCTTGAGGTGTCAACTTTTGGAGGTTTTCTTACTATTCTGGCATTTTTATTTTAACAGGAAGGTTTTTAAAATAATTTTGGGCCATTAATCTCTTTTTATAGTGAAAAATTAGAAAAACAAACTAGTGGCTGTTAAATACCACCAAGTACTATCTGTCTAAAATATTTAAAACTCATGTAGTTAGAGTGTTTGATTATGGAGTAAGTGTTAGTTGAACTATCATAGTGCTAAAAACTGAAATTGTCTGGTAATGAAGGGATATTATGAGCTGGTACTCAAGTGGTTAAACTATGTAGAAATAGATACATTAGACTGAAATCAGCCAAAAATTAGAATTTAACTAGGCAATTTGGACAGCTGTACTTGGGTAATAACCACAACAAGGTGTTTAGAAATTATCAGCCTTGATCGTTGCATAATAGATTACCATATTTGTGGAGTGAGCAAAGGACAAACCACACCTACTAAAACCAAGGTATAAAAGAGTGATATGAGGTCTCTGAGAATCTTAGAGAACAACTCAGAAGCCTGAAGACACAAGAGCTTCCAGATTCTAAAGGTAAAATTACGACCGCACTAATCTTACACTATGGAACTACAGCTCTTGGAGAACCTTCTTCTCTTCATTCTCATCTGTCTTTAGCTTTTTTCCTCTGAAGTCTGGTTCGCAGGCTTCTTTGCTATCAGCATTATCTATGTAGAAATAGATACAATTGACTCTTACTCTTAACTCTTCTCGCCTTTTTTCCCTAATACAAATTCAATTTGTGACCTTTTGGTGAGAGCCTCACATGATCCAACCACTGAAGTTTGATCATAAGTTGCCCAACTTCTTATGTTTACCAAAACTTTGTAATGCTATAGGCATTACACTTATTAATCTAATGAAAATGTATCTTTATCCATAACATTTCATTAAAGTGTTACTAAACCCACAACAGTAAAATCAGTCTGTATATGCAGTAAAGCATGCTACTCACTGTGGAACCTCTAAGGGGTTAATCCTCCACATTGTGTAAAAAGGATGTTTGACCCTAAATTCTCTGATCCTCCCCCTCTTCCATTGTCCCCTAAATATCTCCTGATAGAACAGAGGATTGGAGTCACTCTGCACCTGCTTAGTTTGGTGTGTAGTCCTGGAGAGGTTTTTTTTTTTTTTTTCTTGGGAGAGTGCATGTGATAAGCATGGGGCCAATCAGCACTGTCCAGACAGAGGTCAGGGGTCTTGCATCCTCCTACAGGAGAATTAAAACTCCTCCTACAAGCTTTAACCAGTGCTCGACTGGACACTGATAGAAGTCACAAGACTGTTCTAACTGCTGATGAGAAAAGGTATTTAGCAGTTTGTATTTACTAAAATAATGGCATTTCCATGTTCTGTGTACTGTGTGAGACAGGATATAGTGAATACCGGGCCTGGGGTTTGGGATCATTTTACCTTTTGACAGTAGGGAAGGGAGAGATTTATGTTCACTTCTTGTCCTGCAGAAATAACAGGAAGTGATCAGAAAGCTCTCCAAAACAAGGCAAATTATCTCTTTAGTTTTTAACATATCAGGTGTCCCCATTTGGAGGATGTTCTCCCTTTCATGGTCTGAGAAGAACTCAAAATTATGGATTTTCTCATCGAAACAAAATGAGCTATAGACTTAAAAATAAAATGTAAAAATGTCATTAAATATAATTTATATTAAATGTAATTTATATTTACCGTATTTGCCGGAGTATAAGGCAACTCATTAATTTTCCAGTTAAGACATAGGTTTTGGGCTATACTTGCCGTATAAGACTACCCCCCCCCCCCCCCCGCCCTTCCGAGACAACACCATTTAAAAACATCAAATTTGAACATAAGATTTGATTAAATATACACCCACTAATCCGTCAGTCCACTGGATGTGCGGTAATACTGTATGTATGGTAGCTTCGGCTACATACAGTATACCACACTGAGCCAAGATGGCTAAAAACTAACGGCCCTACGGTAATCTGTCAGCCCGCTGGATGTGCGGTAATACTGTATGTACGGTAGCTTTAGCTACATACAGTATACCACACTGAGCCAATCACAGCGAGCAATGTATTCTATTAATGAGGTTGTGACATCATCAGCTCGCCTCTCTGACTCAGCCAATCTGAGCAGGCTCTGTATTCATTAATAAAATACATTGTTCACCGTGATTGGCTCAGAGCAGTATACTGTATGTAGCTGAAGCTACCGTACATACAGTATTACCGCACATTCAGAGGGCTGACAGATTAGGGACGTTCATTTTGAGCCAGCTTGGCCCAAACAAACTAAAAGTTCAGTTTGTATACCCCGCGTATAAGACGACCCCCGATTTTTGGGGTATGCTTTTAAGTATAAAAAGTCGTCTTATACGCCGGAAAATACGGTATACATGAATATAATATTATAAAGTCAAAAAACAGAAAAACAAACACAAAATACCCAAATAACATTACATAAACAAAAAAATAGCAAAAACTAAATGAACTTTTTACATTTTATTTTATTTTACTTGTTTACTTTTACTTTTTTTTTTTTTACTTTAAATTTTAAATTTTCTTCTTTAGTTTCCCTTTTTTCACTTTTGATTTAGATAACTGTGTATGATATACTGTATGTAAGAACAGTGCAGCTTATTTCTGTCTGTAATTTAGTTGGGGAGATTCACCCTACGGAAAGCAACAAATTTGTACATATGTGACTAGAAGAAGAGGTGAGGCTTAGGGTTCATTCACACTTGACTGTTTTTCCAACTCTTGTCAAATACCCCTATAGCATTTGACAAGCGTTGGTCCGGCGTTTGCAGAGCATTTTTTAACGCTCCGCAAAGGCCGCAAGTGTGGTTTAGTGGCAGTTGCTAGGCGTTTGCAAAGCGTTAAAAATGCCCCACAAACGCCTATAATGAAATTTGAATGGTGTTACCACTCCGCAAACGCCCCGCAACAGTGTCGCAAACGCCGGCCAGGTGTTTGCGGAGCGGCACCATAGACTTGAATAGGAGGATTCAACTCCTCCTGACTCAACCAGAGGCATCCATTTTGCCGCGACGCTAACGCTCCCATGTGAACAGCACCATGTGCTGCAATGTGGAGAATTTTCCCAGGCGTTTGGGAAGCGCTTCTCAAATGCCTGTCTGCCGCTTGTAAACAAGGCTAGTATGAACGTAGACTTAGTCTTCCATTGTTCAGGTGACCGCTGTCTAAGAAGGGAATTCTCCTCACTCTAATAACAAACTTACCTGTAGTCCTTTTGGTTTTAATTTCTTCAGCTCACGGTCATACCAGTAAAGTAAATCTTTCTCTGTAATTGTTTTATTGTCGCTTCTGATTCCCACTGCAGCCTCTACAAGGGTTCTAACTTCTAGATAAACTATCCCATAATGGTCACTACCTATGACCTGATGATTGGCTGCTCAGTCCTCAGGCAGTGTATTGTTATTGTTGTGTTCCCCCTATATCCAGAAATTCTGGGATTTTCAAGGTGGCTGCAGATGAAAGTATGTTTGGTCCCCTGGGGGTGCTGACCATACGCTGGGAAGGGGGTGTTTAACACAACTTTGCTCAAAGATAGCCTAGGGTTGATTTACTAAAACTGAAGAGTGCAAAATCTGGTGCAGCTGTGCATGGTAGCCAATCAGCTTCTACCTTCAGCTTGATAACCTCCCTGGAGGTATTCCCGAGTGTAGCTAGGGGTAAAGTTTCAGCTCCACAAGCGGTAACCCCGAGCTACAGTCGGGAATACCCTGCAGTGTTGTTCCAGGATCTCTTCTGCACTTACCTTGTCCTTTGCTCCTGTGATATCCCCCCTGCAATGTCCCCGGCCATCTCCTCCGGCCGATGCTGGCATCTGTCTTCCGGATTCCATTCCCTGTGACGTCAGGATGTACGGGGATGGAACGGCGGGAAATTTAAAAATGTCAAAAAGTGACATTCACTAAATACACTAAAATCACATAGTAAAAACATTACTGTATCAAACCATTTCACATACATTTTGTCCCTAGTGCTTTGTCCTGTGCCCTGCCTGCATTTTTACTGTTCTTTCTGCCTGGAAACTGAGAAATGTCCATGGCGTCCAAAAAGCGTCCCTTTAGTCCAAAAGCAGTTTTAGACCGGCTAGAGAACAGCGATAGTAAATTAGAACCACTTGCAGAATTGAGTGATAATGATTTGTGGGGAAATTCGTCATCAGACAATGAAAACTATTCTGCGACTAAGCTCAGTGATGTGTGAACTTGGCGCTCTATTTCAAATTTCAGTGTTTTTGGTTTGATTATATTATTAAATTTATTATTTTATTATTATTTATGATTATTTATTAAATTAAAATTTGATTTCATGTTTCAAATTTTAACATACCCGGGACTCTTGTTCGGACAGATTTCAGTGAGTTATTCCTAAAAATTACAGGCCTACAATAAAAAAACAACATATTTCCATGCAAAAAAATGTACCGCTTTGAGCACAGAAATACTGACTTAATCAGACTGCCAGGGAGGTTAAATTAAGGTTTGACAAAAAAAAAAAGTGGAAACTGATTGGTTTCTATGCAGAGCTGCACCAGAATTTGCACTTTCCAGTTTTAGCAATTCAAAATCCCTGTCTGTTTAAAGACCACTTTATACTCCCTCTCCTGTGGCTGTGACTACAAAACACCAAGTGCTTTTTAGTATGGGGGTAAATGTGACCTCCTCCCATGATGCAGCGCTTGGACCTGAGTGGTCAATCTACAGGTCGGAGTACTGTAAGAATGGGGTGACATGTCCACTCCATCTAAGCTTTGGCTTTTTGATGGTGGCTACCATGGAGGAAGCGGGTGGTGGGGCTGCACTGGAGGGATTAGGATTAAGTGATCTGAGAGGTTGGCTTTATACTGACATTGTCACCTAATTCTGAATGGGCATGGTGACAGGATCCCTTCAAGATGTCTACAAACATCAGAAAATTGGGAAAATCTTGGAGTTTACAGCTGGATATGGGAATTATTTTAGTTAGACACCACCAGGCCTAACATTCTTGGGTAGAGAGTGGATCAGATGGTTTCCTTTCTTTAGAATTATATATAATACAAATTAGTGCTGAGCTTGTCCATAAAGTGCTCCCTCTTGGTCTATCGTTGGCCAGATCTTGCCACCAGTTGAAGCTTTGTTTTTTCATTATTTCAGTCAGACTGCAAAGATCATAAAAAGTAACACCTTTTTTTTAAATTTTACTATTATATGTTGCTGCAACCAGCATTAAAAATCTTTGTGCTCACAGCATTGTGGAAATTCTGATCACTACTCAACGCATAGTGAAGGAGTTTGGGTCTCCACTGTTTATGCAGCCTGACTGTTTTATAGTATTAAAAATCCAAGCTGATCTATCTGCAAATATATAAGAAATGAGAAGGCAATTGGCACAATGGTGGCAAAGGAACCGGCAAATAGTCATATTTCAGGTCAATGACAGATGAAATGTGTTTGGTTACTAAGGGCTATTTTGCATTGTTTTATCTTATCTTTTTTGTGTATGCCTGATATGGCCAGGAGAGAAAACTGACTTCATCATTCTCTCTTTTTTTCCACAGACATGATCCGCCTACTGCTGCTGCTTCTGCTGGGAACAGTCTATGCTCAGGAACCTGGTGAGCTGACAATCTGTGCATAAATATGTATATATGTATCACAACAGTTTTTATATTTTCAAGATCTGTTCCTTTTATACATAATTTTATAGCATGTGGGCAGCACAGTGGCTAAATGGTTAGCACTTCCGCCTGGCAGTACTAGGGTTGTTGGTTCGAATCCCAGCCACGGCATCACCTGCCTGGAGTTTCTTCCTGTGCCTGAGTGGGTCCCAGAAGGAAGACTGACCATTCGGGCGCTCAGTCACTGCCCGAGGGCCCAGAGTCAGTAGGGGGCCTCATGAGATGCCCCTGGTAACTTTCATAGGCTTTTTTGGGTGTGGTTGAATGTGGGCAAGGACACAGGGGCCCCTTTATCCCCTATTGCCCAGGGGCCCCATGAGTTGTCAGTCCACCCTTGGTGGGTCTTAGTATGTGTATGTGCGAATGTGAGTTAGGGACCTTAGATTGTATGCCCCTTGAGGGTTAGGGACTGATGTGAATGTGCGCAAATTGAAATTGCTGTATACAGTAAGTACCTGTAATAAATAAATCAGAATAATTGAAGTTTCACACTTTTTATGCATATTGTGTCATTGATTTTTTTAACCATATTCATATAAAGCTTTGTAAGTGCATCCTCCAGTGGCTATTTCTGCAGAGGTCCTGCACATCCCCTGCTGAGTTTTTCAATCAGCACCGAGCATAAACTTTTCTGATTGCAAAGATATTGATCTGACTCAGCTAGTGTTAGACCTTTGCAGAGAGACCACTGCTTCCCCACAGAGAGGGTCATTCCTAAAGCATGCTGGCAAGGGACTAACTTTTCTACTCAGGCTTTGGCTGCTTTTTTTTTTTTTTTTTAAGACAATAAACTAAGACTTTGCACACCTTGCATTTAAATGCACTTGGAATGTATTTAGCTGATTTAAACTGAAAATATAACTGGGCTTTAATATTATGAAGGTGGGTGGAACTGGGAACTCAGATTCAGAGATTTAGGTAACAAAAATCTTGAGAGATCTGAAATTGGCTGCTGTTCAATTCCCCACCTGAGATTTTAGGCAAAGAGACTGCTAATCCAATTAGGATGTTAGATTAATTTATCTCCGCACTCCCCTTCCATGCAGTAATTCAGAGATCAATTGGCAGAGCAAAACTTGGTGTGGTTTAGCACCAACTGAATTCCCAATTTTAAAACACTTCCATTTTTTTCAGAATATTGTTTTGAAGATGACGTTGATGAGCTAGTCAATCCCAGCAGCCAGGAGGATGACAATGACGTGCCCGAGGACCCAGAAGAAATGGATCCTAAGGACCTCAAGTTAGAGATGAGCCACAATACCTCATTGGAATGTGACTCAGAAGCCACCTGCCATTACAGGCTGTATACCCGTGGAAAGAGTTTCTCAAAAGCTCAGGTGTGTAAACATGACTGAATGTTCTCTGTTTAGGAATGTAGACATGCTCTGTGGAGGAAGGGCTAGTGGAGGTATGGGCAGAAAGTAGCCAATCAGATCCAAGCTGTCAATTTCCACCTGCAGAAGACATCTGAAAGGCTTCTAAAGACATTTTCTTTATTCACTGGAGCCAGAGCCAAAACGTTTTGTTTTTTATATAAGATAGAGTGAGGACTATTCCAACATTCCCCCACTCTACTAACAAAAATTTTCTTATTGAGTCTGTCTACATTTTTTTCAATTTCTTGACCAAATGAGAGCCTGTCACCAGAACAAGATGTTTTTTTTCCTGCACTTCCCATTCCATGGATAGATCACATTTTGCAACTGTCACTGGGACAGGGGTCTCCTCTGTAAGATTTCCTTCTGCTCCTGTACTGGTCACACCTGTAAAATTTTTGATTTCCCATCACTTTCTGTACCAGACCAGTGACAAGGATCACCATGACAGAAAGGATCTATCTCTTTTCTACAAACAACAGTACAAATCTGACAGAGGCTCCCTCATTAACCCCTCCCCACAGAGTGTGCACATGTAGGAGGCCCCATGGAGTTAGATCTTTATCTGTAGGGCAGTATATATGTATAAATGTGTTTGTACTAGGAGTATTATACACAGCTTGCTCCCAGCACAGAGACCGGGCTCTGACTAAGAGCCAAGGGTCTCATAGTAAGGATCGGGAACCAGGATTCCCAGTTCCCGATCACCTAATTGCTGTGATAGCCTTTGGAATGGCTATAGTAGTGATCAGTCACTGTACAGTCTGCCCCTGTGTTTTTTTTTTCCTCTTAAATGGAGAAACAGATACATTGTGTATAGTTTTCTCCTTGCTAGAGAAAAACATAAAAAAAGAAGTGTGTGTAAAAAACAAACAAACATACAAAAAAAAAAAGAAACAATAGCCATAACAGGTTCCAGGTTTGATCTAGGTCAGGGTTACGGTTAAGGTCAAAAGTTATGGTTGGAGTGAAAGGTCAGGGTCAGTGTATTTTAGGTAGGATTAAAAAACATTTTTTAACTTAGTATCAGTGTCATAAAATGCAATAAAATGATCAGGATAAATGTTGTTTCTATTAGTAAGAATGAATAAGGTGGCTGTCAGGTCCAATCACTTGTAGGTGGCACATAGGCCTATGGGTATAAAATAATATGGTGACTCTCAGGTCCAATCATCTGTAGGTGGCATATAAGTCTATGAATAAGGATTAATATGGTGGCTGTCAGGTTCATTTGCCTGTAGGTTGCACATAACCCTATGATTATGGAATAATATGGTGGCTCTCAGATCTAATCACCCCTTAGGTAGCACATAACCCTATGAGTATGGAATAATATGGTGGCTCTCAGATCTAATCACCCCTTAGGTAGCATATAACCCTATGAGTATGGGAAGAATTTGATGGCTCTCGGGACCAATCACCTGTAAGTGGCGCATGACCCTATGAATAGCATAAATTATGGTGGCTCTCAGGTCCAATCACCTGTAGGTGGCACATAACCCTATGAGTAACAAATTATGAGGGATCTCATATACAATCACCTGTAGGTGGCACATAACCCTATGAGTAAGAATTATAATGGGGGCTCTGTGTTCTATGATGTACAATAAACACAGTTTTGTGTTGCCTCCCCAGACTGTGTGCAAAAGTCACAAAGGAAATCTGTGTTCCATTCGAAATTCCTGCATCAACAGCCGACTGAGAGCTTTTGTCCGACGTTATAATCAAAAGCTAGCATGGATCGGTGTCTGGAAACCATCTGTAAGTATCAGTTTACTCATCATTTTATTTTCAGACATTGAACCACTTCCATAAGAAAAATTGTGCTTTTGACAAAATCCCCTTCATTTACTTTCACCCGAGTTTGATGTAATTAAAGTGTTACTAAGCCCACAACAGTAAAATCAGTCTGTATATGCAGTAAAGCATGCTTGTTCTACTCACTGTGGAACCTAAGGGGTTTATCCTCCCCATCATGTAAAAAGGCTGTTTGATCCTGACTTCTCTGATCCATCAGTCCCCAATCCATCTTCTGATAGAACAGAGCCCGAGGAGGCACTCTGCACATGCTCAATTTAGTGTGTATTGCTAGAAAATTTTTTTCTTTTTTTGGGAGGGTGCATGTGATCAGCACAGGGTCAATCAGACCTCTGAGACAGGGAGTTAGGCAGCCTCATAGGACAGTGCTTGTTGTATGTCACATTTAGATGTGCGGTGAAGTGCTATAAGTATGAACAAAAATGAATGACCCTTTCTAAAAAAATTTATATATATATATATATATATATATATATATATATATATATAATTCTTTTACAACCATGTACATGACTTCTATAGTCCCGACTGAAATCCAGAAACTAAGTAACTACAAAGAGGCCACCAGGTGCAACAACAGTGAGGGCCCACAGTCAGACATGAGTCCCCACATGTCACTGGCTGTGGACAATGGCATACAAAAACAACGCATGGTCATGGACCTAAAAGGAAATTTATAGAGCAGCCTTTCTCAACCTTGTCAACACAGAAGAACCCTAGAAATAGCATTCCAGTGTCAGGGAACCCCTGCTAAAAATGCCTTTATCTATAACTCATGATACATTGGTGTGATGGCCAGTGGGAAGAATGCTCCTTACACTTGTGGTCATTGGGAAGAATATAGATACCATATACTGTAGATAGCAAAAAAGATCAATGGTATTAGTGGGAAATTATCTGAGAAGCAGAGCTCAAGAAAACCCCTAGCAACCTAGAACCCTGGTTGAAAAACCCTGATATAGTGTTTTTTAAACATGATTACTTTAATTTTCTTATAGCTAGGACTGAAATAAATGAAGATGGAAAATTATTAAACTATGTTTGTGAATATGTATCTATCTATTATGTGTTTCTAGCCATTAGGTGGAACTCCTTAACATGTATTTACCTGTTTACTCTTAGCTGTTCTGCTGAAAGAAAAAATGTCTGTTGTTTACAATGTTCAGTAGCTAAAGCTGACATTTACACTCACAGCTACATGATTAAGTCTTCCGCTTCAACCCATTACCCTCCCTGTCTGCTTATTATATATGGAACTGTAAGACGTTTCAATCTGAGAGGTTGTGATTATTTTTTAGAATGACATTATTATATTATTTATCTTTGTGGAGACTGACATATATGTTTTTCTTTACATCCTTCCTGCAGTGTTGCGGATACCGTAACATTGATGGACAAAAGTTGAAATATACCAACTTTGCCAGAAGACAGCGCAAAACGTTAGGAAGATGGTGCGTTGCCCTAAACGTAGCAAGTAAGTATCAAATCGACTATTACTGAGATCAACAACTATCAGCAACAAGATCTTTTTCATGTCCTCATCTTCACATACTCACCTACCCTTTACCCTCTGCCACTCTGTTCAGCTGCCGGGAGCAAAGAAAATCCCCAGCCTTTCCAGATTTGTAGAACGGGTGAATCACTCCTTATGACAGAGCTTAGTGATTGGCCAAGAGTTGTCACATGGGTAAGGGTAGGTTCCATAGTTTCAAGTAAAGTCTGACTCAAGGAACCTGGACTATTCTCAGAGCCTCCCCTCCTACCTCCCGTTATCTGAATGAACATGTGATAGAGTGAAAGAATGGTGATTATTGGTTGCTGGGGAGGCAGGATTTACCTGAACTTGTTGTTTTGTCCTGTTTGCAATGCTCAGGTTCTTCACTTAAAGTGGAACTTCACTTAAAATCAGAAGTTCCACTGTTCCTACTCCTTCCCCTCCTTTGCCAAAGTTTTTTTCGGAGGTGGGGGGGGGGGGACTAGTTTTGATAGGTACCCACTCCCACTTTCATTGGGCTTGCCCAGCCACAGCTGGCTTCCAACAGCCAACATGGTGGATTTGGGGATTCGAAGACAGCAAAGAACCAGTCTGGGTGAGGACTACGCTGGCTCCTTCTTTAAAGTATAACTAAAGGCAAACCTTATTTTTCATTTTGGATAGAGTGGACATGGATTAGAACGCCTATTAGGGTTTTACAGTCGTCTGTGCCCCCATTAGGGAGATTCACATTTTCTATTTGTGATGTTTACCTGAAATAGAAAGTAAAAGTAAAAGAAACCTCAAATATTGGGTTGTTCCCAGAAAAGTAATAGAGGAAATTCTCCAAAGGGGGCACTCGTTTTGGTGACCTGTGGGTCCCCAAATAATTCCCTTAATTTGCAGGGATTTTCTCTCACTTCCTGTTTTGGCTATGGGACAGGAAATGAAGGTAAATCTCTCCAATAGGACACAGATGGCAAAAAATGTCTTACACTATCCAAAATGCAAAAATAAGTTTGCATTTAGTTCTACTTTAAGTACAACGGCAAGAGCAAAATACATTAAAGTGTATCTAAAGAACAAAAATATTTTTTAGCTTTACATGACTTGTGGTGGCTGCATTATTTCTTTCTTAACCTTTTCCCTTTTTACCTAGTAATCCTGTCATTAATTTACTTTCTGTCCCAGGGTGACAACCATGCTGAGCAGAGTTGTAACCCCGAGACAGGGAGTGTGTTAGGACTATATAACACTGTGTTGTGTGTATGCAGGTGTAAAAGAGCCCTGTGTGAGGAATTTAGATTTACAAATAGTCCTTCCTAACTGATTCTTTATAGTGAGATCTTTTTTACCGGAGCGCCTGTTTATTATCTCTCTTGTTTTCTTCATTCGCTCAGCTGGAAAATGGATTTCTGTCAGTTGCTCTAAACAACTTCCTTACATATGCAAATTATGAACCTTTATATACCTCACGTCGATTGGACCCAATCTGTCTTTTACATGAAGAGTATAAACCGTCATACACCTTGACTCCATGGACCCGATCTACCTTTTTTGTACCCATCCCTTTCCCTGCCCCTTCCAGCTGCATCCATTTACCTTTGTACAATGATGATAATAAATGACAGACATTGCAAAATACCCGTGTGGTGTTATTTCCTCATGGAAAACCGTTAATGGTTATTGGGTGATCAAGTTCAAAGCTAGTGTCTACTAAGGTGTCTACGTTCATTCTGCATGGTCCAACTATATGTAGGAACATAGCCACCCTCTCTCGCTTGCTCCTGAGACTATGGGATTTGTAGTGTACGCAGAGCAGTGCACATGACTGCACATAACGTGCACAGTTCATTCCAAACATACAGAAGTGCCACATACAGCCAAAGTGTTTGGTGGACCCAGGGGTGCCTCTCTATCAGGACTTGATAGATATATATATATATATATATATATATATATATATATATATATATATATATATATATATATGAATGAATAGAAAACCATTGACCGGAGTGAAGGTATTGATGAGCTTACAGGATTAAGTGTGTTGCTATGTAGAGATGATCAGCAGCTGGTTGTTGCAGCCTTAGCCAATACCTCGAGTCCCTCTCAAGGTTTTCTATGTATCTGTTTACAAAACAGTTAAACATAACACTAAGAAACATAAGTCAGCAATTTGCAGAACCATTGAGACTAGTACATGTTTAAAGTGGGTTGCTAGAGACTTTGTACAACACCAACACCATTTTCTGAGTCTATGCTACATGATCATAGACTGCATTTCTCCCATTACAATCAAGTGAATACTTGCAGTATAGACATTGGGGAATGCCTTGATGATGAATGGGTACTACTCAGAGACTGCATGGTTTCTTCGTAAGTTCATGTCCTGGTTTTGTACCTTCTTGTGTATCAATAGTCTCATTTAATGATGGCTCAAGGACATCTATCAGACTCTTTATAATATAAACACTAAACACTCCTATGTGCTTATCGAAAAAAATATTGCCCTTATACTATATGATCAGGAGAGTTGATTACAAGAAAACAAATAAGAGGGTGTACCAGCCTAGTGCATTATCCCACAAATGTATTTAAATTTTAATGTAAATACTACTACTCACATGCATAGGAATTAAAAGTGCTCATCAAGCCACTTATTTATGGCTTAGTAATATTAGACTCAGAAGTCTCCAGAGCATGGGGGGACCTCTCTGAGGTCCCTGTAGGCTGATGCGTTTTGAAGGAATCTCTTTCTGCTGATGAAGTTGGTTACAAATGACAAGGAGAAGGTAACTGTTCTTCTCTTTGGTTTTTACAAAGAAAAGGAGAGTTATAACAATCAGGACTGTACTGTTAGTAACACAATAAGAAATTTGCCCGTTTGGCTAATGGAAACCAGAGTCCAAAAAGACTTGAAAAACTTAAATAAATCACCAGGGGCAGGTGGCTTACACCCAAGAGTCCTCAAAGATCGTAGCCAGGTAATAGCCAGACCATCATTTCTAATTTTTAAGGAAAGCTTGGCTGACTGGAATGGTACCAACTGATTGGCAAAAAGCCAATGTGGTACCAATATTTAAAAAAGGGCCAAAATATACAGTTGTGTTCAAATAATAATAGCAGTGTGTTGAAAAAAGTGAATAAAGCTCAAAATCCTTCTAATAGCTTTTATTTCACATATACACAAATGCATTGGGAACACTACATTCTATTCCAAATCAAAACATGAAGAAAAATATATCAAATTTGTGTTGTTCCTCTAAAAAAAAAATTGAAGAAAAGTGAATATTAGACTGTTCAGAAAAATAGCAGTGTTTGTATTCTTCTTTACAAACTCAAACATTCACTATGTAAACTGAAAAATGTTTGAAGATTTTGCTTTCCTTTGAATCACTTAATTAATATTTAGTTGTATAAACACTGTTTCTGAGAACTGCTGTACATCTGTGTTGCATGGAGTCAACCAACAGGTATTCCAGCCCAGGATGATTGGACTACATTCCACAGTTCTTCTCTATTTCCTGGTTTTGCCTCAGAAACTGCATTTTTGATGTCACCCCACAAGTTTTCTATTGGATTAAGATCCGGGGATTGGGCTGGCCACTCCATAACATCAATCTTGTTGGTCTGGACCCAAGATGTTGCACGTTTACTGGTGTGTTTGGGACCGTTGTCTTGTTAAAACACCCATTTCAAGAGCATTTCCTATTCAGCATAAGGCAGCATGACCTCTTCAAGTATTCTGATGTATTCAAACTGATCCATGGTCCCTGGTATGCGATAAATAGGCCCAACACCGTAGTATGAGAAACATCCCCATATCATGATGCTTGCGCAACCATGCTTCACTGTCTTCACAGTGTACTGTGGCTTGAATTCAGTGTTTGGGGGTCGTCTGACAAACTGTCTCCAGCCACTAGACCCAAAAAGAACAATCTTATTTTCATCAGTCCACAAAATGTTGCGCCATTTCTCTTTAGGCCAGTCAATGTGCTCTTTGGCAAATTGTAACCTCTTCAGCACATGTCTTTTTTTCAACAGTGGGACTTTGCGGGGGCATCTTGCAGATAGCTTGGCTTCACATAGGCGTCTTCTAACTGTAATAGTACTCGCAGGTGACTTTAGACTTTCTTTGATCTTCCTGGAGCTGATTGTTGGCTGAGTCCTTGCCATTTTGGTTATTCTTCTATCCATTCGAATTGTAGTTTTTCGCTTTCTTCCACGTATTTCAGGTTTTGGTTGCCATTTTAAAGCATTTGCGATCATTTTAGCTGAGCAGCCTATCATTTTCTGCACTTCTTTATATGTTTTCCCCTCTCCAATCAACTTTTTAATCAAGGTTCGCTGTTTTTCTTAACAATGTCTGGAACGACCCATTTTCTTCAGAATTTCAGAGAGAAATGCACTGTAACCAGCATGTACATTTGCTGCCTTCCTTCCTTAAATAAGGGCAATAATTACCACCTGTTTTTCAAAGAATGAATGACCTCATTAATAGAACTCCACACTGCTATTATTTTGAACATGCCCCTTTCTATTAGTGATTCAATTACACAGAATCAGCAGCATGCATGTCTTGACTGTTGGGTCTGTTGGATTTCTATTACTCTACTACACCTGCTAGTAAATTATTTGCATGTAGAAATATAATTTCTACCAAAAACAGTAATTGATCAGGTTAGTGATGTCTGACTGCTATTATTTTGAACACAACTGTACACTTGGAAATTAGGTCAGTCAGCCTAACATGAGTAGTATGTAAACTATTGGAATGTTGATGGACTATATCCAAGAATGTGCTTATGGATTTATGAAAAATAATCTTAACATTCTATGAGGAATTGAGCTGCCGTCTAGATAAAGGAAGCCCTGTGGATGTAGTATAGTTGGATTTTGCCAAAGCAATTGATACAGTTCCCAATAAACACCTAATTTAGAAATTGTGGTCTGTTGACATTGACGATAGTGTATGTACCTGGTGTCAGGGATGCGGGTGTGACCAGAAGTGTGTGGACTGACACAGGGAAACGCAAGCTTCAGATATGGTATAAATAAGACAATTTATTAAAGACTAACAATACAAACAAACGCAGTGCACCAAACCCCAAGCTAACACAAATACATACAACAAGGTGAAACAAACCTAAACTGATACAGATACACAGGTACATACACATATAGAGCACAACGTAGTAAGGCAAGCCGGGTCGATAACTATTGGGCAGGTAGGTACCGGAGGAGCAGGCGGAGAGAATGGTCAGGGTCACAAGCCAGGGATCAAAACAGGAGAAGTCAGCAGAGGTCAGGATCAGGCAGGGTCGGCAACAAGTCAGGCAGAGGCAGAAACAGGAACGCAGGTTACAAGATACAGGGGCCCATGGAAAAACACACACCAAGGCACAGACTGCAGGTCTGGCCATCCCTTAAATACACCTGCAATCAGCCCCAGGTGATGGCTAATTGCCGAAATGAACCTCTGGTTGTTGAGAGCACCCGCTGGCCAGCCCTGGTACTGCAGCCCACAAGGCAGGTGAGTCCCACCACTGTTGGCAAGTCCATTCCTGCCAGTACCCCCCCCCTCAAGGAGCGGCCTCAGGACGCTCCAAACAGTCTTAGCTGGGCAAAATGTTCCACCGCCCGTGTTCGGTGACTGGCGGGATATCAAAGACTGGCACATCGGGCTGGGCACCGGACGGAGGCACTTCGAGCTGGGCACCGGACGGAGGCACTTCGGGCTGGACACTGGACGGAGGCACTTCGGGCTGGACACCGGACGGAGGCACTTCGGGCTGGACACCGGATGGAGGCACGTCGGGCTGGGCACCGGGCGCAGGCACGTCGGGCTGGGCACCGGACGCAGGCACTTCGGGCTGGACACCGGACGGAGGCACTTCGGGCTGGATACCGGACGGAGGCACTTCGGGCTGGACACCGGACGGAGGCACTTCGGGCTGGACATCGGACGGAGGCACTTCGGGCTGGACACCGGACGGAGGCACTTCGGGCTGGACACAGGACGGAGGCACTTCGGGCTGGACACCGGACGGAGGCACTTCGGGCTGGACACCGGACGCAGGCACGTCGGGCTGGGCACCGGACGCAGGCACGTCGGGCTGGGCACCGGACGGAGGCACGTCGGGCTGGACGCCGGATTACCAGGCGGAGCAGCAGGCACCAGGCCACCAGGCGGAGCAGCAGTCACAGGGCCCCCAGGCAGGGCGGCGGGCACCAGGCCACCAGGCGGAGCAGCAGGCACCGGGCCCCCAGGCAGGGTGGCGGGCACTGGGCCACCAGGCGGAGCAGCAGGCACCGGGCCCCCAGGGAGGGCGGCGGGCACTGGGCCACCAGGTGGTCACCAGGTACAACAGCGGGCACCGGGTCATCAGACATTGGATCGTCTTGCTCGACCGCGGGCACCAGGTCATCTGGCTCAACAGCGGGCATCGGGTC